TAGAGACCCTCTTTTGGGACCCTTAAAAGGATCTTATTTTTTTTAAATAAGGGAGAATCCAAGATTTTCTTTTAGAGAATTTTATCCAATGTAGGGTATAAACCCACTCCGCATAGAAATATTTTGGGTTTTTGAAAGTTTAATTCCCAAAAACCCATCGCCGATTCAGTTATTTTTTTGGCCCCCCTAGTTATGGAAAAGAGGTTTTTTGGACATCTCGGATCCCATATTTACTTCGCAAAAATGGAATATCCAAAAAAAATTTAATCGACACCAGCAGGATTTGAACCAGCGCGGGCAGAGCCCCAGAGATAGCCGAACTCATTTGTTTAAATAAAACACATTCGAGTCTTTCGCCTTAACCACTCGGCCATAGTGCCGTGAAAATCGAATTTTATAACTCAATAATTCTTTTGATGTTGGATGTATTTTGGTTTTATTTCCCCTTTCTAACTACATTTACTATCATTTTATGATATTACTCCAAAGGTTTCAGTTATTACTGTTCTGACCTAGAAGGTTCCAGAATGTTCCTTATTTCCACTCACACGTGACCACTTTTACTGGTTTGTAGGATTACGTTGGCTCATTGTGGTCACTCTGTTACTAGATAACTGGATCGTTCTTTTAGTTTTATACATAGTTGTCAGAATTATGAGGTAACACGTGATATATACGTATTACGACATTATTCATATAGGATAAAGAAATGTTACTTTACACGAAAGTGTTATTTCTGACGTTAAAACTTTTCCAACACTTTATATAAGAAATGACAAGATCTTAATTGACACTTGTCATGTTAATTATATTCCCATGTGTATATTATATACTTTAATACACCGGATCAATATCAACTTATTAAGAATGTCCTTGGAAATAAATAAAGAATCTATTACTATGAACGATTCGGTAGAAAAACCACAACATGATTCTCTACAATAGTTACTTGTTATATTACTATATATATTCTTCTTTTATACTTCAAGATACCTTGAAGAGTTTTCGGTTCGGACAAACACTCGTGAGACATGGTAATATGGCTTTATAAGAAAAAGTCACATGACCAATGTCAGCAACTTTATTAAATAATGTTCATTGCGTCATAGATATATCTTTGATAATGGAACGTAAATAAAAATTACAAGATAATATAAATCGAATTACTAACAGTAAGACAATGGCTAATCAGGTAATTACTAAAAATCAGGTTATTGATTGTTTGCAATACTGTAGAACATTCTAGAAACAAAATAAAAAGAATATTATTGGTAAATTACCAATGAACTAAAATACTTGAGTGAGAGTGCAAGGAATTGTTAGAATAAATGATTAGTAATTATAAGATTTTGAGATCAAAGATTAAACGTATAAATACGGACACTAATCCCAAGATTAGGATGATTTGATTTCCAAGATTACCTTTACATATTTATATTATTATTTTATATTATATATAAAATCCTCACGGAGAAATATAATTTAAGAAATATGTCACCTATTAAAAATGATCAACAATTTCAACAATTACAGCCATTTTCATCGAAACAAAAGAATAATAATTTCTGGCAAGCCCTCATTATTTGTTTCAAATCTATATGAAAAGAGTTAGATACATTAAAAAAGTGAGAGTTTTGAACATATCTCTTTTTTATGTAACAATTATTGAAGAACGGATCCTATTGCTCTTGGAATTAGGTATCAATGTGAATTAACTCAATCATATACCCTCTCAAATGTGACAGTTGGTTTCTCTATTCATAGTATTAATCAAATTTGTAAACTTGAAATATATTAAAATAGTACATACTAATCGTATTCAACATAAAAATAAATCATGCTAACGTCAATGCCGCCTGTCATCTTTCTTTGGATGATCTTTATTGTAGAAAATACATTACATTAATACTCTAATATGTAATTAAATAAATAGATTTGATTTTTACTGTTAATAGATTATATCTATTAATAGTAATATATGAGCACATATATTAATCAGATAAATATCCAGCAAGACCTTTTGAAGCTGTAGAATTGGTAATAGGAAATATTGCCCCATTCAAAACTTTGTTTGTTGTTAGCATTAATTCATTAAAAATTATTAATGATAAATTTAGATTAATATTTATTTTAATAATGGTACAAATAAAATCAGAGTTTATCATTAGTATCAAATTGCAAATAAAATTTAAGGATCTATCTGCAGTGTTCAAGTTAATGAACTTATCTTCTTGTTTTCAAATAATCTCTCCAGAAGAAAATTATCATTTCCCAAGCCATTACCAAAGTGACCATACCTACACTGATATTGAAAGTAAACATTGGGGTGTATCCTCTATATTCCATACCTTCTATAACTTGATCCGTAGATTCCATGAAGATTAATCCTCCTGCTAACATACAGAAAGAGGTGATCAATTCAGTAAAAGGTTTTGGAGTTTCAAAATCACTTTTAGGTTCAAAATATAGGATTAAAAATGTAAACAATCTGAAAAATGAACCATAAGATAATAGATTCCCCCATTGTATATGAACACTTGTAGATGTCTGCGAAGCTTGTGCATGTTGAGACATTAAAATACCAGTCCAGAATATTGTAAATGCAGGGAATGGATTCATGGAATAGCCTGGAGAAAATGCATAAATGGAATCGATACTATTTTGGTCTTTTAGATATTGAGATGCTTGGATATATCTTAATTTATTTAATTTGAATTCAGCTAATAAACCACATAAGCCAGTACCAATAAACATGAAGGCAATTGAGACGTGCTGTAGGTCCTTAGCTGACCAAGCACCACCAGCACCCGCCAAATGTTCCAAAAATACATTTGTAGAGCCATAAAAAAATATTAAAAAGGATTCGATACCTTCCATTGTAATTGTACCTCTGGGGATTGGTATAATTGAAAATAATTTATGTTTTTCGAATTCATTATTGTAAATAATAACTTTATTCCAAGCCCAACCCCATTTAGCTCCAAATCCACAGTAACGTGCTAATGAAATTACACCTAGTATGACAAAAACACCACCTTTGATCCAATGAGCCAACAAGTTGAAGATACGTTGAGCTTTACCAAATAAATTACCAACAGCCAAGCCTGTAGTAAAATTAAAGAACAGATAAACTAGCATTGGATAGTTTAGGATATTAAATAATAAATTGAAGACCATACCAAATTTCAAAGAAATTCTTCTAATAATTGGTATATTTGATATTTTTAGGGCCAATTTACTGTTATGAGCACCCTTTCCATTATTAAACCTGGTGCTGGAGCCGTGGACCCCACGTAAAGAGCTTGGACTATGTTCAATGTCGATTGGATTATCTTGGATGGTTAAAGTTGAGTCTATGTCATTCTCTGGTGTTACGTCAGAGATGAAATTGGAAGAATCGGAGGTATTATCATGATCATAACTATCTAATGGTATGAATGAGTTTGTATTCAATTGTTTATCATTGTCAAACTTGTAATTATTGGATAACCATTTAAAGGTTTTTGAAATTATTGCGGAGAAGTAATGCAGAGATATCAAAAACAGTAGAATGATCGAGGACTTCTTGTATAAATTATTTGGATATAGATCTTCCATATTTGATAGAGAGGATAGGAAAATTGATAATGAGAATAATGAGGATAGTATTGTTATGAAATGCAAAGTCAATACAGGGATATACCAACCTGAACTTATATTATTTAACATCAAACAGATTGGGTATAGGAAAAATAGAGAAGAGGTGATAGTTAAAATATGGTATTTCAATGCAAATTTATTACCAGCGTCGGTAGTGAAATAAGTAGTTGTATTATAACTTTCCCAGTATAATCTTTGGGCTTTATTTAGATCAGAATGTTGCAGTATTGGTAAGCCATGGGCGTGAGTCATTGGATAAGGAGTTGGTATTATATTAATAGTGGTATTAGCGATTAGATGTTGGTTATTGTCATTATTCATATTTTGGGCAGAAGACATCGTTTCATCGTGATGGCCATCATGAGCCAATGCACTTCCAATGGCCAAAGAGAGCCAAACTAAATGAAGTTTATAACTGATAAGCATGATTGAATGAATTGTATGATGATTGGCTGTTATTGGGGGAGGTAGGGGAGGCAAGGGTTCAATCTAAAACAATTAAACAGTATTAAATAAAATAGAACAAACAAACAAACAAACGCCAACTAGCGTTTACTTTCTAGTTCCAAGTTGGAATTGAACCTTGGCGACTCTCTGTCAATTCACCAAGTTCAGTTCAGACTGTTTCTTTTTAGTCAATGGTAATAAATAAATAAGTAATTAATACAATGACTATCAAGTAATTTAAATGTCAAATACTTGAATACTTAAATAGTAAATTATTAGTAATAAGTAATAAAATTATAAACGGAATTAAACTTTTACGTATCTAGTGGTGTAGGTGATTCTGTCGTAAGCAGTTGTATCTAATTTACGGAGGGACTCATCCAAAACAGCTAGACCAAATAAGTTGAATATATTCCATCAATTAAACCAATTTTAACAATTAGAAAAAAATAAACGAATGAACAAGAATATAGAGAGAGGTATCCCTTCAAACCTAACAAGTCAACGGTAATCTCTGACCACTTATATACTCTCTGTTTCATCAGCTGGCCTAGTGAACAAAATTTGATAATCTAGTAATAATCTACTGAATGGAATGGAATGGAGCCAGTTTACGCATTATTACTAAATTAAACATAATACTTAATACAAAATAATAATAAAATGCTCTCTCTACAGCCATCCATCCAAGTATCTGTCTCTATCATCCATCTCTATCATCTTAACGATACGACGACTATTGATATATAGCTATAACTGGAACATAAGAACAATTCAGTTAGCTAAATAAGCATCAATTGGATAGGCAGATAAAAAGCCAAGCATTAAAAACCGAGTGTTTACAGTTTGGAGAAGGCATCGATCATAACAGGAACTAGTAAAACCATACAAGTAAGCATATGTGTGCTTGCTTGCTTGTTTGTGTGGTTCTAAATTTAAAAGAAACCTATATCCATTCCCATCTCTTGCTTGTTCTTGCCATTACCTGAACTGACCTTGTGAAGAACTAAGCTTATATACTGACTACAACGGATGTTAGTCTAGTTCGTCGAGTTTGCCTAAGTGAGGACCAAGATAGTAACAATAACAACTAGATTGTACAAGATGTGCTGGGGTGTTTTAAAAATATATAGCATTGGCTACATCAATTGATCTCTCTCTCTTTCTACCCTGGGTGTAGGTCTTTTCCCACCAACTATCTCCCCCCTCCCCTCCCCTCTGGTTCAGTAACATCAACACTTTTGGTATTGATATAATAATCTACTACAGCTACAAGTTATAGTGATGATATCCAATCCAAGAAGAGTAAAAGAGAGTCAATTGGGAAATGATGGTTTAGGGTTTGGGGATACTCTATCATCTCTTTCCATCTCTCTTGTGGGCCTTGATGGTTGGTCTGTCAAACCTGGTTTCCTTTTGCAAGTGCCTCTATCCTAGTGTGGTAGTGGTATACTACGCTGGACTACGTGCACTAGACTGTTCTGGGATTTGACAAAATTTATAAGAAGCGATACAACCAACTCTGACTTCAATGGATAGAAAGACGATGGGTCCACTACATCAATCAATGTCTTGATTGATTGGGAGAGCGAGGGCAGCGACTCACACCTTCTTCTACATGAGACTAACAACTGAAATGCATTTTTTCATTAACTCTTAGGTTAAGGGTAGTGAAAAGGGCTCATTTTACACTCATCTGATCTTGTAGATGTACTATTGGGGTTTAGGTTACTTGGGTGGTGGGATGGATGATTAAATTGACAGTATTGGCATCCAGCCAAATTTTGTTCAATTGTAGTAAATTTACTGTTATATGACTGGATATTTTCATTTGTATGATTTATGTAGTTGGGCTAGATGTGTATATATATGGTCTAGGAGTATTTGAAGATAGGGATGTGTTGAGTAACCGATAGGTCTGTCTGTAGGCTCGCCCTCTTTTTCCCAAGTGATTTGGAGACCCCTGTGTCTCTCTATCAGGTAAGAAATTACAAGAAACCTTTACTTTGAATATGGAAATAGAAATGACGAAAAAAAATTCTTTGAGTTGCAACCCAATAGATAAAATTAGAATTGAGATTATGCCAGATCTATTCAGCCATTCTCACACCTCAAATTTTCTCGTAATCTTGCATGTTGGTTTTGCTATGTTATTTTCTTCTCAAGAACCTTTATTAAATTAATTTAGTTTAGTACATTTGAGATATTAAAAACTATAAGATTATTTCAGCTGCCAGTTCATATCACATTGGCTTAATCTACAAGCAATTATCTCGGTTCTTGTGTTTCTATTAATCTTGTTTCACTTTTAATTTCATATTTGAGCTACTACATACACATATATAGATTAGTTCCTTGCTTCTTGCGATTAAAGTTAAAACTAGCACGGGTGTTATTTTATGTTGACACTCTAACGGATACTAAACATTCTTGTTTGAGCAATTGAACTAACATTTCTAAGGTTAACTAGCTCATATCAAGATTTATCTTTTATTTGTACATTAAAACTATATATTTTTAGCCATTCCACCAGAAATTAAGTTTACGAGCAAAATCTGTTTTTGAAGTAAGTTGAATTACACCTCAATTGTATCCTTAGTACAGAAGAAAGAATATTAACCCTTCCACATATCGGTCAAGTTTGGTATGATTCTTGATATTTTATTAAGGAAATTCATACAAATTGAATATTCCGAGGTATACATATAGAGAGATTTGTGATATATTTGAGGTTTATATAATATGGTTTACATAACCTGAGGGTTTTAAAACAAAGACTAAAGGTTCATTCCAATGAACTATTGACTGAGTGGGATGATTTTGAAAACAAAAAATTTTGAAACATAAGAGTTTTGAAGATTTTATAAGTCTATTATATTAAAGTTTCATCTTTGTTAATTCTTCTTCAATTGAGGCTTTAACTAATTCGACATCAGCTCTTTCAACGAACTTTAATCTCTTTGGCAAAGTGGACAATTTCTTTAGTTCTAATGGCAAAACGTCTTTTTCAAATGAATATCCAGAGAATTTTCCTAGAGATTCATTGACAGCGTCAGCGAACTTAGCTGGGTGGGCAGTGGATAAAGAAATATAATGAATGGTGTTATCCTTATCCTTTGCAATGATTCTTTCAGCAGCGCAAATACCAACAGATGTATGTGGGTCAATGATATATTTAGATGGGTTAGTAGATCTTTCGTAGATTTCTGCAATTGTCTTTGTTGTTTCTTCGTTAGAAACTCTTTCGGAATCGAAATCTTTTCTAGCGCCATCAATAATCTTGTTATCCACTTGGAATTTACCTTGTTCCCTCAATTGCTGGAACCAATTATTTACAATAGAACCCGCCTTTATGTCATCATTATTAGCTTCGTATTCTCTTGCTAAGAACCATAACAATCTTTCAAAGTTAGAAGAAATTAAGATATCCATAGCTGGGGAGAGTGTGGCAGCGACTTTGTCAGATCTTTCATAATAACCGGTCTTTAAGAATCTGTCCAAAATATCATTTTCATTGGTAGCAATGACTAATTTTTCAACAGGTAAACCCATTTGCTTGGCGAAGTAACCAGCTAATATATCACCAAAGTTACCACTTGGAACAACGAATTTAACTTTCCCTTCAACACCACCAGTAGCTTTGAAGTAAGAGTAAAAATAGTAAGTTATTTGGGCTAAAATTCTTGCCCAGTTAATAGAATTAACTGCACCAACGTTGTGTCTTTCATTAAATTCTTTATCACCAAAGATAGCTTTGACAATATCTTGACAGTTATCAAAAGTACCTTTAACCGATAGAGTTTGGACATTCTTATCCTCCACAGTGGTCATTTGTTCTTCTTGGATTGGTGAAATTCTGCCTGTTGGATATAAGATGAAAACAGATACATCCTTTTTACCACGTAAACCGTAGATAGCAGCAGAACCAGTATCACCAGAAGTAGCACCAACAACAGTCAATTTCTTCTTTTCAGATTCTGGTAAGTTACTGTTATGTCTTTGCAAAAAGAATTCGAATAAGTTACCAACAAATTGTAAAGCAACATCTTTAAAAGCATAAGTTGGACCATGAAATAGTTCTAGTACATGCAAATTTTCTTTGTTACCAGTAATATTTTTGGCCAATGGAGTAACTTCTGAAGAACGGAAAGTGGAATAAGAATTCTCGACTAGAACTTTCAATTCACTATCAGAAATTTCACTTGAAGAGATGTATAATCTCATAATTTCAAAAGCTAACTCTTGAAATGATAATTTTGACCATTTATTAAATAAAGTGTCCTTAGATACCTGTGGGATGACTGGAGGGATGAATAAACCACCATCAGAAGCTAAACCTTGGATAACAGCTTCTTCGAATGATTTAGTATCCTTAGATGATGATCTAGTTGATCTGTAGACTTGAGATGATGAAGCCATTGTTGAATAAATTGATGTGGTTATATCGTCCGTTGAACAATACTCCTAAATTGATTGTTAACACTTAGTTATCAACAAAAGGATTTAAAATAAGCCGATATAGAAGCAACAAGTAGAACAGGTTAATATGGTAAAACCTGCTTTCCAAACATTATAATAATCTAAATTTCATCTTGAAAAAACCTTCTTAATCAAGATTACTCATAAATCATCTAACCCAATTTCGAAGACCTCTGAAATTTTCTGTTGTCATCGATGATGATGATGATGATGACGATGACGATGTGAAAAATCGCGGAAGAATGATGAGACCTTTTCGAAATTTCTTAGTAAAACGGCTTTTTCCATAATAATTTTTTTTTTCTTTTGGCTTCACTATAAAAAAATAATGAAATGATCATGTGACTAAAGTTATTAAAGAATGATCCCTTTGATCTTTCCATTTATGTTGTCGTTGGTGTCACCGTAATAATGTAACTTGGATCGATTGAACTGTAATTCTTCAGTTTTATTTTATTAGAATCAATAATGCCAGATTGATAGTTTTCTTATCTGATTAATTTTATTACATGGAGTGTATTAGTTTGGTAATTAAAGTATATCGAAATGACATCCTTTTACTGTGGGTTCTCTGTTTGTTGGTCTTGATTGAAGAAGAGTCGTCTCTCTATCTGTAAATATATAAGTAAATAAATAAAATATATTTAAGTATGATAGTTCTATTATATGTTATAAAAAGTCCTCGAACAAAGGATTAGATTTGAAACTAATGGACATGATATGAGGGGGGGTACAGAATTTATCTTTGTAAAATAGATGATGGATGGTAGGAAAGAATAAAAGAAAAAAGTGCTGACAATTCTGGGTTTTTTAAGTATATAATATTTAAAATTGTCATTTTCCATTTTATTTTATTTGCTTTTATCATTTACATCTTAACTCTCTGTTTGTTTCTTTGACGTCTTTCTCTTTTCTCTTTCATTTTCTGGTCAATCTTGGATAATTCACCAGATTCTTTCAATTGGCGTCTTCTCTCTTTTTCTAATTCTAACTTCTTTTCTTTTGCTACCTCTAATTCAGCTTGTTTCATTAATTTATTAATTCTGTCAATTTCTTGGGAACGGAAGGTGACAGATTTCTTTAATAAATCATTAGTTAAAAATTTATTACTAGAATCTTGGATTAAATCGCGGGTACAGTTGTCAAAAACTTCAACTATAGATGATACCAATTTTTGCAATAACTCGATTTCTTCGTTGCTCTTTGGGAATTTGACACGAATAATACACTTTGGAGATTGATTCTGATCAAATAGTTTTTGAGTTAAAGGTTTTTCAATTGGCAAATCGGTGAAACTAATAAATTGTAAGAATCTTGAACAATTTTTCAATAATGGATTTAAAGTAGTTTCTTTAATGTAGTGGTGGAAAAATCCATTGAATTGATTAGCTTCAGACATGTATACATATTCGACTGGTAATTTATCACTTTCACTTGTATGGGTCAAGGATAAGAAGTAGTTATTGCTACGTGAATCATTCATAACATCTTTGTTGACAATTGAAGTAATAAATTGAAGTTTACCCAATATTTCACCAGCATTAGCGTTTATTTTAGAATCAGCATTAGCGGCATAAACACCATTTGGCTTAATAATAACTTGTGCGAATTCGTCCAAATCACGCACAGCCAAAGATGGGAAGAAATAAGCAATAGCATATTCGAATATAATAGACAATAGATTGCTACGAGGTAATAAATGAGCTCTCATAGTAATACTTTCAATAGATGATCTACCAGTAGCAAAAGTAGTAAACCAGCTATATTGATGTTGATCTAAATATTCTTGTTGTTTACCTTCATAATCAGTGAAAGCAACACGAGAAAATTCCAGGTCATTCTTCAAATATGAGTTAAACTTTTTGAATAACCTGTTTGCATGGCGTTTGTTAGTTGAGATACCAATGAAGTACATTAAATATACCAAAATTAAAATAACGGTACAAGTCATTTCAAATCTCCAATCATAAATGGAAGCCCTTTCGAAAAGGGTCATTGCCTTCAATTCATCACTGGATTTAGATAAATATTCAGCATTTAATGATTCGACGTATTCGACAACTCTAACCAAAGGTTCTAGAATAGCACTCATCTTTTTTGAATGGGGGGAGAAGAACTAAATTAAATCTATTGAATTGAACCAATCTAGTCTTTGCTTGTTCTTATGATCTTTAAACGAAGAAAAAAGGAGCTATTTAAAACTTCTAATTGAACTAAGTAACTAAAATTGATAAAATTAAAATTCGAACCATTTAATAATCAATCTTCTTTAATTTCAAGTATTTTTTTTTGGAGTCTAATGAACATATATTTTTCCATTTTCTCTCTCTCTGTCTCTCTCTCTCTTGGGCCGGTTAAAACGACTAACAACCTCTGCATATTGTATTTTTTTTTGCTTGCCATCGTTCGTTCATCAGCTTTGTTGCCTTGTTCCACTACCTTATCCATTTCCTGGTGTGTTCTCGAAATCTAAAACATGTGCACCACGTGATTGTCATATGAATATGGAGTCTTATATAATTATGGCTCCCCACATAATATATAATTAAATATACAACATCTATAAATTGATAAATAGGATACAAGCATATATAATCGTAACTAAACACCATTCATGATGTCTATTTAGCTTATTAAAACTAAAAAAACAGCTATTTAAAAGATTGGAACTGGAAATTAGGAACTAAATCAAAAAGCAAACAATTAATTAATGAACTAATTTAGGCACCTTCTTATACCTTTTCAATATATTTAGCAACTCCGATTGAAGAATATATACATATATATATTTAAACATGTCACAAAAACTCAAAAATTGGAGTAATCCTTAGACAGGGTAATTCCATGGATTTCTGGCAATATTGTCCGCGCTTAAAATAAACGGTAAATTTGAATTGGTATATAAGGAAGCCAATGGAAATCGGTTGTCATTACAACGATTCATTTTAAAAATGAGAATGGATGCGAATAGAGTAAAAAAAAAATGTATATCGATTAACAAATATAAAATTTAAATACTATTATATAATTATTTTATATATAACATTATTTATATTAAAATAATGTTAGTTGATATACATTGGGTAAATAAAAATTGTGTTCAATGATGTAACCAAAGTGGTTTAAGCAATGACACAAACTTGGTCTTGGTAGAAACCAGAGTTGTTGACTTCCTTGAAGAATTGATCTTTGTTTTCAGTTTGAGTTGGTTGCATATTGAATTATTATACTTATTGATTTAGTATGGTTTTTTTTTATTTCTAAATATGAATTGGAATAGAATTGAACTAAAATATTTTCATATACTAAAATATATGTCTCCTATTTATATGTCAAAAAAAATTATAAATTTATGACCTCTATTAATTTTAAAATTTAACGTATTAACATATAAATTGAAGCCCCATGGGACGTACTTTCCTATTTTAGACAAGTTCTATTCTAATGACATAATTATAATTTCCTAGATAAAATATACAATTATGTCACCTCCATCAAAATCTTCCAACTACAACTAAATCTTAATTTTAATATCAAAAAGAATATGTTTCATATTTTGTTGATGTAAAGATATTTATATAATTTTGTATTCTATTTTTACTAATTAGAGTAATTTTAAGTATTTTTAAAGCAGCAAGCTCAAAGTCTAATAATATTCAAGGAAGCAATTTTAGTAGGGTCTTTTACGATTCCTTAATGTAATCCCTTGTATTTTTTATTTTTCTTGTCTCTGGTGTTTCAAATTTCACACCAATTTTACTGATCTAAAATGGTTTTGTTTTACTTTTAATGAGATACACAATTCTATACATAAACTTTCTTTAGTTGTACAGACATAATCAGAAGATTTTCCCCTAAGAAGAAATATATAATTGACATAATAGCATAATTTCTCCTTCAAGTAAGAATTGGTAAATTAACCTATTCAAGTGGGTAGACATTTGTTTATTAAAGTCTAGACTTTTTATGCTAATATCAGTACTTTTTTGGACATTCCTTTTCTCGGTAGGTTCGTTCCTGCAATGATGATGTATGTAATGTTTACCCAAAAAATAAGTCATGCTAAGAAAATATTCAAACTGCTTTGGCTAGTTTGCACCGCTTTTTAATTTAGTGATGTAATAAAAATATAATTTGAAACAAGGTATTAGGAGGTATCCAATTATTATCATTTCAGGTCCTGATTGTCATTTTAATTGCCATCTAACCAAGATTGAGATGGGGGAATGAAACTCTTAATTCGAATTAGTTACCAGGAATAGTACGGGAGATACTCTGGTGAAACAAATCTTAGAATTTGTAATGGCAATGACAGCTGTAAGGGGTTCCGAAATTGCCTACTTCTTGAGATATTTTTTCGTTCTATCGTGCTTATTGAAAATCATTCAGATTAGTCCATGTATTGTAAACTCGAATATATATAGATAGATATTTATTTTGATCATATTAGAAAAAGTATCATTAATGTATTAGCTATTTATGATGTGTAAGGTAACTAACTACATACAATTTATACAAGAATATTGACTTAAACCATAGAATAGCAGTTGTTTGGCAATATAAACATCTGTGCAACAACTGTCTTGAACACTCAAGCAATGACACAATCGATGTTTTAGTATATACCGGTATTGTAGATTTGGTCACCGTGGCCACAGTAAAAGTTGTTTTTCTTTTCTATTTGACTTGGTTGCATTATCGTTACTTTGTTAGGTGGTATATCTTCCTTTATATCATTATTATAATATATAGAATGGAACGATTTTTTTGATTGGAAAGTTGGATAAATTACCAAAATTAGACTCATTGTATATTTTTTAAAACTATTTTTGCTTATGGTCTCTAAATCGAGATTATGAATGACTTGGTTTTTATGTTTATCAAATCGTGGATTCTGGCTCCTTAGAGACACTGGACTGATCATTCGCAAAAACATTTGTTAACATAAAATAATATATCATATCATAGCAGACCTTGCATTTTCTTGAACTAATAAAATGAGATGATGGTTTTTTGCAAAAAGAGATTTTTAAAATATAATCCTGAGGAAGACATATATGATAGAATGTTGTAGATCTCGTTGAACGCCTACAAAAAGGCTATGATTGATAAATTTACCTATATTTTTGGTAACTATTGGCATTAGATTATTATAAGTTCGGGATATTGCCCAACTTATGGGGGTCAGTTATCAATACTTAGACTCCCCTTATTTATTAACTATATCTTACAAATTCAATGGCTAATAAAAGTAAAATATGTTTGCCGTTCTAGGAGAATTATAATATCTCCTTTCGATGATAGACTCATTCCTCCAGCAATTAATTTATTGTTGTGAAATTATAATTCAAAAGCGAATGAGGGATCTATGATAGTAAATAAAATAAATCAATTGAATAGCATATGTGTACCTCGGGCTTACCTCGTGGATCTGATCATATTGAGTTCTGTTGGATTTTATACTTGATATTCTACTACATGCATTTATGTTTATTAGTTGCAGTTATAATATTCTCTATTAATTTCTTTGGTTATCGTTCGATTTCAACTCTGATGGACCAACAGCATCCATAATTTCTTCATAATTTGAGGCTTCGAAGACATTGATTCAAGATTCTTTAGGTGTTAGGAAATTCTTGTCTAATAATTGGATTTTCATGATCTATTGAATTACAATTAATTTTATATTAACCTCTAGTTAGTGGTTGTAATCATCTCGACCAGCTTTGTTCTTTAAAAATATAGGACTTGATAGAATATGAAAAAAAAAAAATTTATTAGAACAGTATAAAAGACTATGTAAGAAATAAATAAATTTATCTAATATAGTAAATAATTTTTAAACCATACAATATCTGAAACTTAGATAAATACTAGAATATTAACTAGAATATTACACTAAACGAAAAGTTTAGGCAATGACACAGTCGATATCTTGGTAAAAACCGCAGTTGTTGACTTCGGTGTGGTTATCTTTGTTTTCAGTTTGAGTGGATTGCATTATTGTTAGTTATATTGGATGTTTTCAGTATGATTTTTTTATTTCCCTATATAAAAATATTTTTACGAGAGAAAGAATTCTTGGACTCAAACAAAAATAAATTTTATATTTCATTTTATATGAATATATTTGAAACTTAAATTAAGAGATGAAGGTTACTCGTTAATTTTTATTACTCCTATTAGCATCTTACAGCTGTCACTTCAAAAATAACTACCATTCGAAATGAATTGGTTGATTGCTAGCTACTACTGTTATAGAAAATTACGATACTAGGGATCTAAAGTTGATATATTTGGAAATTAACAACACAAATCTCTAATTAATCAAAACTATGTGCTATTAATTTCCATTTATCGTAAATATTGCTGTCATAATTCTAAAATTATTAGAAACTTGGAGAAAATTTTGTATTCAGCTTCTCAACAGAAAAAGAAATCACAGCTAAATTGCAAAACATTTACATAAGTTCAAAAAAGAAATTGTAGTAACTGAATGTTGTTCTCGATAGACACCGAAATGGGTGTCCCTGATTATTACTATAGAATAAATAAGAGTTCCAAATATGATGACGTGACATATTTGTCATTATGAAACAAAATCAGAAATCGTTGTAGCTGACTTTCAAATCCTTAGCGAATCCAACAGTTCTCGTAGCTTTTCCTTTCCCTATCACCATTCTAATTGAGTTTCTAAGAGATCTTGTAGTTCATTGACCTTGAGAAATTCGTTAATCCACACCTGTAAGAAATTGCTGTAGAAACTTTCCTATTTCGGGTCTCGAGGCTGTCCTTTCCGAATCAAGAAATATAAAAAGTTTCACCTTATGCTACAAGGATTGATAGAGGAGGTTTCAACAACCTTCCTGGATACAAGATACATTATTATTTCAGCTTGATGCCATCGGGTTTTTTTCAATTTGAAATGAGATTTAGGATGATTTGTATCTATAAAGCTCGGCTTTGATTTAATGATATTACTTTTGGAATTTAAATATATATACGTTTTTGTTAACATCTGGGAATGACTGTCATCTCAATACAAAAAAAAAATATTAGTTTGATGTTTAAAAAAAATTCTATTAGATTAAA